CCATCCAAAACATTAGAATTCGATGAAGCCTGCAAAAAGTGTATTAAACGTTTTCAATTTATGGGCATATTTTTTATTTGAAAATGGTGTATGCGCGGGTTTGTATTGCTAACACGATATTCCCATGCAGCCATTCCATGCAGGGCCTCTCAGCGACGTCTGTCGTCCGGCTTTCGTACAACTAGCCACTGATATATATTTCCGCGCGTTTTTTTCCGATTTTTATTGGTGGAGCCCGATGGGGTATACAAATAATATTAATCTGCTCGTTGGACTCCAGTCAGTCGAGGCATCAAACAACAGTATTTGACCGATTTGTTTTTTCCCTAATCTAAATTCTTTGAAAAAATGCTGTAGAAATCAAGATTTAAAATCACAATTTTTTGTGAAAATCTGAAATGTTGTTCCAATCTTTAAAGATTTACACACTATTTTGAAAGGTATATATAGTGTTGAATTATATGTAAGTATTTTTAAATTTTGCGTGTTAATATGGCTTTGTTTCATGCAGGATTTTGGTCACTGACATTGCATGGTTGGATATTAGCGTTAATTAAGCAGCCTCATGCATTACCCTCTTGTTTTCTTCCAGTTATAAAAAAGCTTCTCAGCACAGAACGACAATGCTTAGTGTTTTGGGCTCAAATCTAAAACCTAAAACTGCTTATAGGTTTGCATGCATGGTAACTAATGTTAATTCTAATTTTGATTTCTCATGTAGGCATCTGTGCAAAAACAGTTGAGCCAGTATTTTAGGAATCAGCGACACTAGTCCAAACCAAAGAAATCAATGGTACCTGCAACAGGGGAACCAAGCTGGTCTGCAGCTAAGCTGGAGGAGAAAAGATGGATGACATTGTGACACAGAGAAGAAATTTGCAGCTAATTAAGGATTGTAAAGTTGGCTTGAAGGCGCATTGAAACCCTTGACATGTGTCCATATCTTGGCAAAGTGGAAAATGTAAGTTCAATGGTATTCATTTGTCAGGCCATCCAAAACATTAGAATTCGATGAAGCCTGCAAAAAGGATATGCGTTTTCAAAATCCCTTTATAGGCATATTCTTGATTTGAAAATGGTGTATGGGCTTGTAGTGCTAACATGATATTTCCAGCCATTCCAAGGCCTCTCATCGACATCTGAACAACAGTCTAGTCCCTCATATACCACACCAGAACCTGCCACCTCTACACCTTGGAGGAATCTGGAAATTGGAGGAATCTGGAAATTGAAGGCATCTGATGGTGGTCATATGTTACCCAACCCAATGAAAAGGGGAAGACAAATTCGTCGGCACTTCCCACTCATTTGCCATTTCCGGAAATGATACGATTAAGTGACTTATAATAACCAATTAACATCAGAATTTCTGGTAGAGGAGATGGTAATTATGGATTATGAACAATCCAAACTCAGTTAATCTGTCAAAAGAATTATTCAGTGATAAATACGCGGAAGCAATTCTTATAGAATCGCGAAAGACATAACATGCACGAAAGCCGCCATTTGTAAAAAATATCTTACATGATTTGGACACGTGGGTTGGAAAAGAATCAACGAAAAAAATATGTACGTATATGTATTATATAGATTGTGACAAAATCCACGCGTGAGTGCTCGTCGCAACCTCTTCCAATTTCGTCTGCCGGGTTTAACAGGATAACAAGGCTTGATTCAAGATGGCACCCATATCGTATGCATGTGCGTCACAAATTATTAGCGGACGATTTTCCGCGTCGATTACACGTCTCTGAGCGGTTTAACCAACATTGTCAACGCGAAAATTTTTTGGATAGTTTTATCAATGGATATGAAGTACGCCAATATGCTCCAAAAGGTCAACCACCTGCTTTTAACTTTGAACGAAATGATTCCCGTGCAAAACTCACTGTCTGGGCAGCACTCTGCGGTATTGGTTTGCTTGTGGGACCTTATCTTTTTTTGACGGAAATGTAAACGGGATCGCGCATCTCAGAATGCTTAATGAATTTGTTTTCCCCCAACTCGCTGCGCATTTTAACAATCAGTATTGGGAGGGATTGTTTCTGGGTCTTTGGAGCTGACCGTCTCATGCAAGTAAGGGACAGCCTGAACGAAGTGTTTGGGAATAACCGCGTTGTAGGATTGGGTCATGATGTTGAATGGCCATTTCGACTCTCCCTCAGAATATGGAGGATTTACGGCAGAAAATAATTTACGGCAGAAAATAATTTACGGCAGAAAATTTTTACGGCAGAAAATTTAATGTCTTACGAGACCAGGTTTAGCAAAGTGCTCCAGGCTTTACAACAATGTTTCCTTCTTTTTATACACCCTGTATAATCTACTACTTACTAGCACAATTTATGTTCGAATAGCGGTTTCCTTCTTTCCGTGTTATTGATATGCTAATCATTCTAATCGCTTCTCTTTTGTTTAAATGACTTGCAAATGCTGCATTATTTTTGTAATTTAGAATATCCCAAACAAAGTTTTAATACCTGTTTGTTTCTACAACATACATGCGCGTCGCGTTTGTGCACATAAAATACTCTTATGTCAAACTTTTTTAGTTTTTAATATATTCCTTGGAACTGGAAAACTTGGCAACTTTTCCAAGACTGGTGATCACATTCTATGTTTAATTCCTAACACTCATATTTTAGATTTGGCCCCCTTATTAGGAGTTGGTGTATGCGGTATAAGGTCAGACACCACTACTTCAAGCGCTTGGCAGTTATACAACGGGTAATTTTATTAATTTGCCATATACGCTGTTAAGAAGACATCAGAAAGCGTATCAAACATCCAACAGAAGTCTTAAGCCTGGTTCACATTGATCGTAAACATCGGCGATGCCCATTGTCGGTGGTCATTGATGCATAAAATGTTTTGTGCATTTTCTTCTTCGTTGCTCACAGACAATGGATCGTAGAACATCGCCGATCAATGTGAACCAGGCTTTAGTTCATTCATTGAGAAAGGACTTGAAATTGGACTAGGTACTGTAATATTTTAACCCATTTACTGGCAGTTAATACTAATAAAGGGCACATTACCAGCTAATTAATGGGCTATATTAAAGGTTGTGGAATGTGATATACTGCTGGAATATTTCAGCTTTTTTCAGCTCTACACATACCTGTTTCCTCGTGCTGGCACCTACAGATATTCATAGGCATTTAGCCAGTCAGAAAACAAAAAAAAGCGTACAGTACAATGAATAATATTGGAATTTCCAAATCTTTATTAAATTAATTTTTATGTACATATACTCTATAGGTACCAATCGTTATGCAGCTGACGTCTCTTACCAAGATCAATCAAAAGAAGAAAATGGAAACACTAATCTGAGTTCAAACTCCTGTTTATGGGTAAGTCTTGTTGTTGATATTCTGGTATTACCTCCAAAAAAACACCATATATGACTATTGTCATTTCATTTTGCTATTTATCTATATCTTTGTCAACTTAATCCTTGTCAACAATCGATTAATCGTATTCATTATGTTAACCATGATTACTGTTAAGCATAATCGATTGTCCAAAAATAATCTATCAATCGATTAATCTGTAGCAGCTCTAGTATATGCATGGTATCGACTGTCGCGCATTCTATGCATATGTCTATGATGCATAACTTGTGACTGTGTGTAAAAATGCAGTGATGACTAAAAGAGAGAAGGGCAGTGTGAATTATTCCAGGCCTTCCCAGAAGGCAAACATTTTACTTATTGATTTGGTCACCTCTTCCACTATTGCAGATAATGCTGGCGACCCCCCAGTGTTCAATAAGGTCACGAAGCGTGGGTTGAACTGCCATCGTGTCACATTAAGTTTTCAGATGATTTAACTATACTGGACCCATGTGATAACATTTTACATTGAATATAATTAAGCCTTTTGTAAATTTTCCTTTTGTCTAGGACAAGGTGGGTTTACCATTCATGGTACAAAATAGAAAGTTGGTGCAGTAATCCATATTGGCTACAATGTAGACGAGTTCCCATTGTTTTAGAAAATTGATAAAATAGCTATTATTAACAAATTATATATTATTATTATAATATATACACTTGATTAAGCGCAAATTATCATATGAATGTTCAGATGTTGCATTTCACCTACTCAGAATAGTCATAAAATGTCGACAGTATTTGATTTTAAGAGGTATAACATTTTGTTATTATTAAATCTTTCATTTCAAATCTTTTAAATAGATAATCTCTTTATAGAGAAAGAAACTGCAACATTGATGCTGCAAGACACTGGTAAAGACACAAAAAGGAAAAAAAGAAAATTAAAGAAAGAGAAAAAGAAGAGAGAAAAAAGGAAAAAAGAAAAAGAGAATGAAAAAGACAGAAAAAGAGGACGATTACGATTCTAATGACACTGAAATCTTAAGTGCAGATGAGTTTCAAGGCCTGCGAACTCAAAATTCTCAAGGCCCTTTGATGAGATCGATGAGAAAAGATGGCGATCTACTTGGTGATCATACGAACCAGTACTGTTGGTAGAGTCTGTTTGCACGGTTTCAATGAAAGTTTCTCCAAAAATGTTGATCAGGTTTATTTGCTATATTGAGGCAAATCATTTGATGACCTCCTGAACATTTTAACCCTTTAGTGCACGACGTCCAGTACACTGGACATCTCGTTTTGATGTGTTGCGTAATTTAGAAACGCGTAATTTTGCGATTCGTGTTTTTATCCACGCGTGGGGATGTCACGCTTCGACTAGAACCATGACATGCTGAGTCATCTTTTATACTGCAAGTGTTGAACGACCTGCTTCAGTTGAGTTGTATAACAACTACATGGGTGGTGTTGACAAGTCCGACATGATGTTGGCCCTATTTCGCACAAAATATAGGTCTCGAAAGTGGTATCAGCGAATTGCATTGCACCTGATAAGCCAATGTACAGTGAATGCATAGATTATATACAGGGAGATGGGGGGACTAAAAAGCTACTTAGATTTCCTCACTGAAATTTGTGTCACCCTCATGGTCAGAAAGCCACAGAGCGACGACTCGGACGAAGATCAGCCTGAACTACCGCCACCACCAAAAAAGAGAAGGAAAGCATCAAGTATCCCAGAAGCTATAAGATATGACAAGTATGACCATTGGCCAATTCGCACGGACATACCCAATGCACAGAGATGCAAAATGGACGGTTGCAAGAAAAAAACAATGTTTATGTGCAGTAAGTGCAATGTGTACTTATGTGTCACTAAGAGCACATGTTTCTTCAATTTTCATGGAAAGTAAATTATATGGGTGTAGTTGGTAGTTAGTGTACTTGATACAGCAAAGAGTTTTCCTCTGTAAATATATTCTTTTATATATTTGTTCGATGGTTTTTCACAATTTCATTCCTAATATGCATTGTCCAGTGTACTGGACAAAATCCCCCCCCCCCCGGATAAATGCTTTTTCAAAATATTATATATATTTCCATTTAGCCATTTTTACATGGCATGCCACCATCCCCCAGCTGTTTACAGACAAGTAAGCAGGGAAGATCTTGATATCGACCATGTTGGACTCAGCATACATGTCAACCATCCTATGGCAAAGGATATGGTCAGATCATTTGTTGGCAACACAGTGACTTTGGCAACGACGCGAGGCACAACGTGGCACCATTAACGGTGGAACTTCTGCTGGCGTGGAATCCATACATCATTCCAACTAAGACGTATTCGACTACTTCTGCGCAAATGGCGATGTTGTCATTCCATCTGGTGAAGATGTCACCCACCTCATCCAAGGTCACACCAAACCCATCCCAACCACCACTTTCATCATCTTTGAATGCGACGCCACTGAGATGGGTTATCCTGTGAATGAATGGGACCTGTCAGTATCCAGGCGAACACCCTTCCTCTACCTGACCAAAGCCATTTCACCGTACCCACCCAATATAACCATCCACCAATTCCTAATCCCGACTCCCCTTACCCCAAATCCTGTCCAATCGCTTGGTGGCAATGTTGCAAAATGTTGTGTATTCTGTGTGTAATGTCATATTTGTCCTATGTTAAAAATATTATATATTTATATAGGAAACATTATTTGTATCATTAAACGTGATACGACATAAAATTGCATCGTAATGGACACCTAATCCCACATTAGAACGTCACGGCCATGACTTGGGATGGTGTGGTAGATCACAATTGGATTATGGACCACAAAATGGAAACAAAATAGCAGTAAACATGTTCCATTTACGCAAGGGAAATTTGTGGTAGAGGAAATATGTATTCCTGTTCTGTTAGTATAAATATAGGCTAAAACGTGTAGTGTAGGTTATTGGTTATTGTTGTGTTGAAATGTGTCATGTGTGTGTTAGTTTGAATCGCAAATTGCGAGTTGAGAATCGTGTACGCAGAGAGCGTGAATGAATTGTTGATGCGTAATCGTGTTGGGTAATTGTAAATTACATCATTGCAAAACAACTTGCACTAAACAAGTGTAAATATCTGTACTTAATAAATATATCCAAAAAATACATTCCCACATGTGAAGTGTCTTGAATCTTGAGCAAGCAACCAGCGTGACTTAAATTGCACTAAGTTATCAAAAATGAGGACACCATGATTGAAGATCGAGCTCTGAGCATGAAGATGTATAATCTCCAGTAGCACCTGCTCAGAGCTTGCAACCCCGACCCAATCACTTCGCCTGTGAAACCCACCAAGGTGCAAGAAATTTCAACAAGCTGCAATCAATACTGCACATCCTAAGGCCAAATGAAAATAATAGTTGGTTGATTTTAATGTATAATTAAATTCTCTATGCCTAGTGATATGATTATGGACTTGTGTATTGATGAAAATATCCTGCAGGTAGTTTGGAACCATTTTATGTTTAATCTTATACATTAATGTAGCAAGTTGTTGTTCCCTTCTTGTTTGCAGATCCGAAAATCCTGCCTTGATTAGAATATCTTTTGATCGCGTTTCATATCCTTCACGGGTAATAATACGAAACGCTCTATTTTGGAGACACTGAAGTTTATCTGATAAAACATTTCCTAGGCAACCCCATGCATGATGGAAACCTTTCCTAGGCAGAGGTGGACGCCAGCGGAGAATAAATTGGGGTCTACCAGTCATTCCAGCAAAGATTTCCAGACAATAAATCCACACGGCAGCAACTGAAGAACAGGGTGCATACCTCAGAGACGTGACCGGACTTGTGGAGATAAATTTTGTAAATAGTACCTTTTTACCTCAAATGATTTTTAAAGAGACTAGTAGGATATACTCTCTATATAACCTAGTTATTTTAGTATTTATCACAATTTTTTCTTATATGTACTATAGTTAGTATAACACTTTTTAACCAAATTTTTATATGTTACGAACTTCTGTAATTTAATTTTAGCTACAAAAAAGTTTATTATTAAAATAATATAATAATAATAGTAATAGTAATTCATTATTAAATTCAAATTAACCTTCCGCCTCTTTTTTTTTTCGTGACGTTGACCTTCAAAAAATATTTGACCTTGAAAAACGATCGACGAACGATATTAAAAACAATTTTAATTCTGACAATAAAATGGTTGGTCTGGACTTTGTTGCTGGATTTCTCAAGCGCCACTCTAAGTTGTCCCTTCGAAGACCGAAATCTGTGTCTGTGAATCGGGTTTTCGGTTTGAACAAAACATCTGTCAATTTATACTTTGATAACCTGAAAATTCTATTAAACAAACATAACTTTAAACCACATGAAATATTCAATTGCGATGAAAGTGGTTTGGCATGTGTCCACAAACCAGTGAAAGTCATTGCACCAAAAGAAAAACGACGTGTCTCGTCAGTGACAAGTGGCGAACGCGGTCAATATATACGTGTACAGACTTGTGGAAGTGTATGATGAGGATAAACACAAGACCGAGATCGTGGCTCAACTTATCCAACGTTCCCATCGTAGCTACGCCAACACCATGTACCTGAACCTTTATGGAAGCCAGTGAAGCCACTTCACCTACATCAAGAATCTAAAAGTGTACTCGAAATCGTACTGTTGTTGTAAATATGACAAAATGTGGAAAACGGTCAAAGCCTTGAACAAACACGAGCGAACATGCGAAGCCGCGGTACGTCACGTTTTCCCTAGTGGTGCCTACAAAATTCCACAAACCATCTTCGATCTGCCCGAAGACGAAGGTATCGACATTCCTGAAGACCTGAAGTACTTCCCTTACCGTGCCACATCTGATTTTGAATGTTATTTCAAACATGAATCCCACCATCCAAGAAACACTGAAAAACTAACTTGGGAAGCGGAACATATCCCACTCTGTTTGCTCCAACATCCCTGGCTACGATGAACCCAAGTGTTTTGTTTCGTCTGGTGACACGCGTGAAATGATCCAACAGTTCGTGGAATATTTGGTTGAGGTCAGCCAAGAAAGCTATGGATTGTTGCCAATGAAAAAAGGCTTTTTACTGTGAAAGGAAAGACGAAGGTCAGACCATTACTCCAAAATTTGAGTTGAAGGCATTGTGACGATTTCTATCGCCGACGTGGGCGCTGCAGTTCACAATAACACAAGTCAATAAAACCCAATGTACTACAATTAACATAAAGGTTTTAATTCTGTAATTACTAAGAGTTATCTAATTTCCTAAAGTATTTTTTTTAACAAACCCGAGTCCAACCGAGTGTAGCTACGTCTTCGTTCTTCAGCTAGCCCACAGCGCTTAATTTTCCGCGTAGTATCAAACATATAACAGCGTCGTATCTTGTTTGTTGAGAATTTTAACGGCTATGTCTTATGAACAAAAGCGTGACAAAACTTGCTAACAATCTGAACATTCTTAAATCGCTTCGAGGTGGTTTTCTGTCGATCTCAAATGAACTTGAGCGTATATAGTCAGCGAACTTCAGTATACTTCCAACAAAAGCAAGATGTCCTTCCAAGTTGTTCTTCTCCTGAAGGTCTTCGTCGGTTTTTGAATGTTTAGGAACCCCTTCCTTGCTTGTCCTGTTTTTCCTCTGCTCGCTTCAAACTCTGGGCTCCTTATATAATCCATTAATTTACATATTCATAATACATAATTATATACAGCTATTCTTTTATCACACCTTCCCGCCAAAGATCATATTACAACTGTAATTGATCCAATGCTGTTAAAAAATCTGACGAGTACACATACACCAGCAACAACTCCCAAACCGGTCAGGTTTATGTCAGGATGACCGACTGTAATGACTGGCAATTAGATGCGCTACGGGAGGAATGTACTAGAAGAGAATTAACAATAAATTCAAAAGTCGGTGTTAAGACATTGGCTGCCAGATTACGTACATATGATATAAATTTTGTTGTTGGGAAAACGGATGAGGCACAAGCATTAGCTCACGATACCCAACCTGGAGAGTTTGAGAATGATGAACATATGCAAAATCTTTCGGATAGCCTGGGTAAATTGAAATTGACCAGTGATCTGCCGATGAAAAATGGGGGCGAAATTCCCGGGGATACTTTAAGTTTTCGGGAGAGGATGGAGCTCTTACGCTTTGAGCGGGACTTAGAACGTGAGAGGGAGGAGAGAGAAATCAGAAGAGAGGAGCGTAGACAACGAGCTAGATTTGAGGATAGGGCGTTTGAGGTAGAACTAGAGAAAGAAAGAGTTAAAACTCCATCAGTTTCCGGATGCTCGGGAAAATTTGTTAAAGTGCGAGAAATGAGGGAGACTGAAGATATCGATGATTATTTTCGGATTTTTGAAATGACGGCTAAAACACAACAAATCCCACCGCTGCCACCAATTGTGACGATTTCTATCGCCGACGTGGGCGCTGCAGTTCACAATAACACAAGTCAATAAAACCCAATGTACTACAATTAACATAAAGGTTTTAATTCTGTAATTACTAAGAGTTATCTAATTTCCTAAAGTATTTTTTTTAACAAACCCGAGTCCAACAGAGTGTAGCTACGTCTTCGTTCTTCAGCTAGCCCACAGCGCTTAACTTTCCGCGTAGTATCAAACATATAACAGCGTCGTATCTTGTTTGTTGAGAATTTTAATGGCTATGTCTTATGAACAAAAGCGTGACGAAACTTGCTAACAATCTGAACATTCTTAAATCGCTTCGAGGTGGTTTTCTGTCGATCTCAAATGAACTTGAGCGTATATAGTCAGCGAACTTCAGTATACTTCCAACAAAAGCAAGATGTCCTTCCAAGTTGTTCTTCTCCTGAAGGTCTTCGTCGGTTTTTGAATGTTTAGGAACTCCTTCCTTGCTTGTCCTGTTTTTCCTCTGCTCGCTTCAAACTCTGGGCTCCTTATATAATCCATTAATTTACATATTCATAATACATAATTATATACAGCTATTCTTTTATCACAGGCATGCGTTCTTTTTTGCGGTGTATAAGGATTTAATTGTTCTTGTTATTTTTATAATTTTCTTATACTAGTACAGATAATTCTGTGCCATAATCAATACATTTGTAATGTGCATTTGATCTTTTGACATGCTAAAGTACATAAGTACTGAAATACCAAATGCTTATTATTATCAATTGTGTGTGGAAATTCATGCCTTGTCTTAGAGGATGAACCACGTGAGCGAAAAGGCAGTGCTTCTCATCTTCGAGTACGGTGTGAAGATTGTGGATGGGTTTATACCTTTTATACTTCAAAGAAGGTCCAACATTCTTTTGACATCAGCAGAAGATTTGTTTATGCCATGAGAAGTATTGGACAAGGACATGCATCGATGAAACACTTTTGCTCCTACAAGCGACACTCTATTGATGACCAACTTGCGGACAGCAGTCTTGCAAAGTTTTAAGTTTACTCGCATGGCCATGAACGGTCTTGGTCTTCAAGGTGAATTGTGCGACTTGTTTTGTGCTTACACAAGGACACCACAACAGAGGGCGCTACTACACTTAATAGAGACAGCGGCGCGGAACAATTATGGATTCCTAATGAATTTTGTTGAAGATAACGGGTCAACGGATGAAAATATAGTCGAGACGTTCCTACATGATGATATCAGTTGGGGTCTAATCGTTATTGTGTTGGCTTTATTTCGTGTGGCGCGACCTAATGCAAGACCGACTACGTGTCTATTTTGCTGACTTCAAGAGTGTGGAGATGGATGTTGAACTGCGGTGGACTAAACTCTTTGACAATATTTTATTCTTTATTCTATTGTAAGACACAAGCAAGACTTGAACTAGTTTTATTTATTTACAAGACTCTAATTGCTTGTCCGCTCTTTTAATATTATATAAAGCATCTAGTTCAATAAGCTCTTCATTTAAACGTTTAATTTCTTGTATCGACGTATTAGCCTTGTTGGGGGAATCCAGCTTCACGTGCGTGGTGTTCAGTAGATTTTTGAGTTCAGAATCTATTGTGTACATTAATTTACGAGATATTATGATTTGAAATTACAATATAATACTCAATATATAATATATTGAGTATATATTAAGTATTATATTGTAATTTCAATAGCAATTTAGCACATTTAGTTATTGCTGCGAGCAGCCCCCTATTCTTGACATATATCTCGATTTTTGTTTGTCAGGATGATTTTGAGCACGCGTATGCAGCGGTTTCATCATTAGTCATATTAATGTTGCATTATGTTGCATGTGTTTACGTTCGAAAAGTTGTAGCTAGAAGGCAAGAACTAGGCAAGTTTTTTTTATTGAAATCATGTCAAATTTAAATTTATTTGTTGCTGGAAGCATTCATCAAGGTAGCAACGGTTTTATAGTGACATTTCACGCGGAAGACAATGTTCTTTTATAAGTTTTCAGCGTTATTATTTGCTCAGACTTTGCCGATCCAACAGTGGACCGCATCTAACGTAGATCAGTCGATCAGATTCTTGCTGAGGGAGATCGACTTTTATATCTCGATGCTTTTGAAAGTAGATCCATCCCTGGCGCAGAGACGTTGTCCCTGGACTACCTGTCCCGTGAGATGCGATGGCATAGAATAAAGATCCATATACAACCTTGTCGATAGACACTGGTAAATGTTTAGATGTTGAAATAATGACAAAAGTTTGCCGTGGGTGTCAAAGGATTGACAAACAAACAAATAGACATCAGTGCAAGGCAAACTATCAAGGATCAGCACCATCTATAGAAACAGAAGGGATGAAGAGGATATTTGGAAGAGCATCTTTGTTGGTGCTGTACTGGAGTTTGGTGCGTATGATGCAGTTGCCCACTTCAATATTGGTTCCAAGGCTGCAACAAAAATCTTTAATGAACTTGGTTTGGTGCCAGGACAATTATTTGAATACGGGGTTGGGAAAGCTGACAAGAGACGAGTAAAGAAAGCTGACCACAGAAACACTCCGGCGGTGAAGAAGAAGGAAAATGACATTTTTTTCATTGGAAAATGACATTTTTTCTCCTTGGTGTCTTACTGGCGGTGCGTTAATTAAGTGTTAAGGGAAAGTTTGACGACACGTGTGGCGGGGTTTCGGCGGTGCGTTAATTATATGTCGAGGGAAAGTTTCAATTGATGACACGTGTGGTGGGGCTTCCGTACACAGGCCACAAACAACGTCTGCGCAGGAGGCCAGCGACACTCTATTGATGACCAACTTGCGGACAGCAGTCTTGCAAAGTCTTAAGTTTACTTGGCCATGAACGGTCTTGGTCTTCAAGGTGAATTGTGCGACTTGTTTTGTGCTGTTCTAATCGGTTACACAAGGACACCACAACAGAGGGCGCTACCACACTTAACAGAGACAGCGGCGCGGAACAATTATGGATTCCTAATGAATTTTGTTGAAGATAACGGGTCAACGGATGAAAATATAGTCCAGACGTTCCTACATGATGATATCAGTTGGGGTCTAATCGTTATTGTGTTGGCTTTATTTCGTGTGGCGCGACCTAATGCAAGACCGACTACGGTGTCTATTTTGCTGACTTCAAGAGTGTGGAGATGGATGTTGAACTGCGGTGGACTAAACTCTTTGACAATATTTTATTATTTGTTCTATTGTAAGACACAAGCAAGACTTGAACTAGTTTTATTTATTTACAAGACTCTAATTGCTTATCCGCTCTTTTAATATTATATAAAGCATCTAGTTCAATAAGCTCTTCGTTTAAACGTTTAATTTCTTGTATCGACGTATTAGCCTTGTTGGGGGAATCCAGCTTCACGTGCGTGGTGTTCAGTAGATTTTTGAGTTCAGAATCTTTTGCGTACATTAATTTACGAGATATTATGATTTGAAATTACAATATAATACTCAATATATAATATATTGAGTATTTATTGAGTATTATATTGTAATTTCAATAGCAATTTAGCACATTTAGTTATTGCTGCGAGCAGCCCCCTATTCTTGACATATATCTCGATTTTTGTTTGTCAGGATGATTTTGAGCACGCGTATGTATGTGCAGCGGTTTCATCATTAGTCATATTAATGTTGCATTATGTTGCATGTGTTTACGTTCGAAAAGTTGTAGCTAGAAGGCAAGAACTAGGCAAGTTTTTTTTATTGAAATCATGTCAAATTTAAATTTATTTGTTGCTGGAAGCATTCATCAAGGTAGCGAACGGTTTTATAGTGACATTTCACGCGGAAGACAATGTTCTTTTATGAGTTTTTCAGCGTTATTATTTGCTCAGACTTTGCTGATCCAACAGTGGACCGCATCTAACGTAGATCAGTCGATCAGATTCTTGCTGAGGGAGATCGACTTTTATATCTCGATGCTTTTGAAAGTAGATCCATCCCTGGCGCAGAGACGTTGTCCCTGGACTACCTGTCCCGTGAGATGCGATGGCATAGAATAAAGATCCATATACAACCTTGTCGATAGACACTAGTAAATGTTTAGATGTTGAAATAATGACAAAAGTTTGCCGTGGGTGTCAAAGGATTGACAAACAAACAAATAGACATCAGTGCAAGGCAAACTATCAAGGATCAGCACCATCTATGGAAACAGAAGGGATGAAGAGGATATTTGGAAGAGCATCTTTGTTGGTGCTGATGTGCTGGAGTTTGGTGCGTATGATGCAGTTGCCCACTTCAATATTGGTTCCAAGGCTGCAACAAAAATCTTTAATAAACTTGGTTTGGTGCCAGGACAATTTTTTGAATACGGGGTTGGGAAAGCTGACAAGAGACGAGTAAAGAAAGCTGACCACAGAAACACTCCGGCGGTGAAGAAGAGGAGAAAGATCCTGCGTGGTCAAAAAAAGAAAGAGGACAATACAAAAGAGAAAGATGGTACCACATACAAGGCAGGAGCATTCTGAAATGGTAGCTATTGACTTTTAGTACTATAATGCCATTTTAAGGCGGCTTTCTTGTTGATAAAATGAAAGTTTAACTTTAAGCACGTTTTCCTCAAATTGGCAAAAATTGCCGATTTCCATGATTGCGCGCAGGATATCTCAAGAACGATTTAAGCTATCTTGATAAAATTTTCAGGATAAACTCACCATGTATTGCTCTAGGAGCTAAACAAAAAAGATTTAGAAAAGTTGAATAGTTTTGGAATTAGTAACAGTTGCTTTGTGGACAGCTGTATACATGTCGAATAATTGCTTGGCAAAAATGTTGTTATTGACACAATGCTTTTAAGAAAGGAGGTTCGCCAAGAAGCGCGAAAAGTTGGACACCTCAATATCCGATCTGAAACGATGCCTTCGGCGAGCGAAACGTTCGCCACACCCACAAACCGAACTAAGGTAGACCTTATATGTGCTTACTACCGCTTTCGACGTTGCATACCCAGATGGCATGGTTGCTCACGTTATATCTAGTACATAACGCTGATTCAATATGGTCACTTTCTGGTCACCCCGTGTATATGCATTGGCTTGTTCATAACTACCCAATCTTACATATTTCAATAACATGTTAATTTGTGTAGGCTCTACAGGATGAAATGCCTGCTGGACCCTACCCAAGCTTACCAAAGCCAGAGTTCCTCGCAAGAGCTGAAAACAGGCTGCGACAGAGTGTGCAAAACCAAAGGATCCTGTGAATCTTGAATTTGATTTGAATCATGACCACATCGCTCCTAATTTCCTTAGGGCAGATATCAGGGTTCGTAAGCGCCGCCAACTCATGTTTGCAAACGACATGTTTGCCAACAACATGTTTGCCGCCGACTTTGATTACCTTTTAGTGTACATGTTTTTCGTATTTTAAGAAATACGTGTATCATCTAAGAATTTTTTTCTATATCAATTAAATGATCTAGATTTGACATTATGAACAATAGTGAAGTGGAGTGGAAGTGACGAAGGACAATGTGGGATATCCTTAAATGGCAGTTGGCAAGAAAGGGGTCATGTGTCGCACAACGGCGTTGCAATCGCTATATCATTGGATACTAAGAATGCCTTGATGTGGGAGTTATCTCGGACAAATGTCATCATTGTCAAAAATAGCAGAAAAGGGAGAATGATCCAGGGTACGAAGAGTGGAAAGCAAACCACCAGTGTAAGATCAACCGTACAGGAAGTGCGAACAGTATGGAAACAGTTGACGTTGTTAGGATTTTCGGGGATATCAAATACAAGGACATGCCAGGGGAGTGTCTGTGTCCCAAAGAAATTAGAGAGCTGGAGGCGGAGGCATCCATATCCTCCTGAAGACAAGGAAGGCAACGTAATAGAACGATCTTGAGCTATTAGATATGCTGATTGTACTATTGGGCATGTTCAAAGCGAGTCGGAAGCAGGTTGCGGAAGTTAAAGAATACCAACAAAGGCGTGAAGCTTAGCGATGGAAAAAAATGTCTGGCAAGGGAATGCTGACAGATGGTACGATAGATGTCCTACAGAACTATTACGGTCTGGCAGTAAGAGAGAACTTGGATGATGTTTCTACAATGGCCAAATCTATAAAGGCACCTATCTTTACCATGTTGCGTCGTCTGACGAGAAACTGTTTTATTGTGTTTTATTGATGCGTGCGATACACTCTTTCCCACCATTGCGAGAAGCACAGTTAGGCTATGGTTGAGAAACTTAAAAATCAACACGATATACCAGACTGTCGACGAAAGACGTATTTTAAAATAAAACGAAATTGAAATGTTCAGTCTTTGGCCTTATTAACGAGCATGCATAACTTGAAACGTTTGATAAGTGAAAAAGCCAGGTGGAACAGTTGCATGAAAGTCCTAGTTCCTAATACACACTAATATGCTATTTCCTTCTGCTTCTGGTTAGTTCTGGTCCCATAAACAGTTCCACACATTGCTCCTGGTTTACGCGTCGATTTACGCTGCCTTGTCGATGTTTGCCGTTCGTTTCGCTTGGATCATCTACGTAAGGTATGTGTGATTGTATTCTGATATTTTTTGTTAAAAATTGTATTCTGTGCGACAGGGAAATTGCATATGGAAATCAATTTCTGTACGGCCTACTTTTACCTAAACGCAAATTACAATGCAACATTCATTCTTGATTCTCTGTTACCTGGGCATGTAGTAATCTAATGTTATGCCAATGTAATAAGCTTTTTTTCAAGGACTTTTCAATGCAGTTACCAGTTAAAATATACATAAAATTCCCGACAATTTCCGTACGGCCTAAACGCAATTTCAATTGCAACTTTCATGCTTAACTTTCTCTGTTACTTGGAGATGTATAGTAATCTAATTTTATGCCAATGCAATGTGCTGTTTTTCAAGGGCTTTTCAATGCAGTTATCAGTTTAAATATACCTAAAATTCCCGTTAAGATATGACAATTTCCGTATGGCCTAAACGCAAATTACTATTGCAACTTTCATGCTGAATTTTCTCTGTTACTTGTGGATGTAGTAATCTAATTTTATGCGGTGTGAGGACATCTTCTTTGCGCAGCGGTGTGAGGACAGCAGAATGCTGGGAGAAACGCTAACCACGGAAGACATCCGCCTGATAAACTCGGCAATCACCAGGCTGGAAACATGGCCTAAAGCCTTTACTGACGCTGCCAACCTCCGTAAACAGGACATTCGGAAAAGGGACGTTAACGAAAAATTGTCCACCGATGATTTCAAATCATTCATCTGCAGCGAAAGAGTCAAGGAGATAATGCGGATGTATGACACCGTTGCAAAGGAAGAAAAGCCGACCGTATCAGTAAATGATTTCTCGTCAACGAGGGATTATTTACTGCTATGGGTTTTGATGGGCAGTGGCCAACGTTGTGGGGCTGCATCCAACCTCACAATCAAGGAATACGTAGATGGCGCATGGACGGAGAGTGATGGCAAGAAAATCTACGCCACAAAGACTCTCCGACACAAGACGTCGTCCGGCGGTCCCGCCAAACTGCTGTGGGACCAGCAGATAAAAGGTTTTGGGGACATTTACCTGGAGAAACTCAGAGATATGTTTGATAATAGAGATATGTTTCATATGTTTGATAACTCTGCTGCACCAGCGGCGGTCGGCATCCCTGAGATGCCGGTTTTCTTCATATCATCCCATGGCAATCCAATGAATGAGTCGAGGGCAAGCCATCGCCTTGCGTCGATGGGAAAGCAGGTGGCTCCTCAGCTTGAGGGGACACTCAAGAGCTCCCGTCTCAGAAAGAGCCTTGTCAGCCTCCAGTGGGAACAGAGCCATTCCGCTGTGTCTGCCCCACATGGATGTTCTTGCACCAGAGGAGAACAAGGATGAAGAGGAGAACAAGGGAGAACAGCCAAAACCCAAAGGCCAGGAGAAAGCAGACGATGCAGCCCAAGGCGAAGAGGAGGGAAGTTCTGACAGCGGAGAGGCAGAGAGCAGAACTCCTCTCTGTATTTCAAGACAATCTAAAACATAGGAGATCCATCTACAAGCACTTTGTGCAGGCAAGGATGAGCCGAAACCCAATTTTAAAGCGTGTTGATGCAGATGCAGCCGTCCAATATCTACAACAAAAAAAAACTGAAACCCTATCCGGATCAGAGAAGACAAAAAATTGGATAAAATCCAACTGCAGAGAGGCCTGGACCTTCTGCCAAGAACATTGGTGAAAATACGGCAAAGTTTGATTTGATCTGGTATGAGCACTAATTTGAAGGAAGGTACAATTTTTATGGATTTATCTGCCCTATTTGGTGTTTTTGATGACATTTTAAAATGTCCTGAGTGTGGTGGTGATATAGATTCACATGTTGACCTGAAGAAGAAGCATGGCTTTTCCCATTATATTGTGATAGAGTGTAAAGCTGTGGAGTGTGACTGGAAACACTGTTTTAGTACATCAAAAAAGCAGGGACATTCTCATGAGATAAACCTAAGAGCAGTTCTGGCATTTAGAGAAATTGGTAGAGGACATAATGCCATGAAAACCTTCAGCAAAGTTATGAATCTGCCTGAACCGCCAACACGTCGCATCTTTACTAAGATTCAGAATAAAAAGCTCCTACCTGTGGTAAAGCAATTGGCTAGTGATAGTATGGTGAATAATGCTATGGAAGCGAGGGAACAGAATGCCAATGATGCTGGAGAATGTGGGGTATTAATCGATGGTACGTGGCAGAAGAGGGGCCATGCGTCACACAATGGCATTGTGACAGTGATTTCGCTGGATTCGAAGAAATGTCTTGATGTTGAAGTGATGTCAGACAAGTGCACACAATGTCAAAAGTGGCAAAAGAAGGAAAGTGATCCAAGATATGAAGAATGGAAAGCTACACACAACTGCAAAATTAACCATGTAGGAAGTGCAAACAGCATGGAGACAGTTGGTGCTTTACGAATCTTCAAACGGTCGTTTCAAACAGGAGGACTCAAGTATAAGAACATGCTAATTGGTGATGGGGATTCCTCAACTTACAACAAAATTGTTGAAAGCAAGCCAAATGGAGATGAATGCATACCAAATAAAATGGAATGCATTGGACATGTCCAGAAAAGGGTCGATAGTCGGTTGCGGAAATTAAAAAATCAAAGTAAAGGTGTAAAATTGGCAGATGGAAAAGGCTTGGCTGGCAAAGGTAGGCTCACTGATAGCAAAATAGATGTTCTTCAGAACTATTATGGCCTGGCAGTGAGAGAAAACCTCAGTGATGTTGGTGAAATGGCTACGGCCATAGAAGCATCACTGTACCATGTTGCATCGACAGACGAGAATCCACAACATCATCTCTGTCCTGATGGAGAGGACAGTTGGTGTGGCTATAACAGGGATAAGGATAATTATAAACACAAGAATGGTATTCCACCATGCATTAGGAATGTAATCAAACCCATATTTGATGATCTAAGTAAGACTGACTTATTAAGTGCACTCACGGCATGACACAGAATGTCAATGAATGTTTGAACGGACTTATTTGGGACAGATGTCCTAAATCCACATATGTGGAGCAGGAGACTGTTGCTCTTGCCACTTATCTTGCTGGCCTGAGGTTCAATGATGGGGACATTTCCTTCTTGAAGATTCTGAGTGATTTGGATATCACTCCTGGGATATTCACCAGCAAGGGTGCACACGATAGTGACACAGCGAGGATCAAACTGTCGGCCAAGAAAGTAACAGAAAAGGTGAAAAGCAGAAGGAAAACATTGAGACATCTGAGAAAACATTATATTGATAATGTGCAAGACAATGAAGGTACTACTTATGAAGCAGGGGCCTTCTGAACATTTCTGAAGCAAAAAAAAAAAACAGAACGAAACTTCAAAACAGCATTTTCTCATTTCGATGATTTTGCTCTTTCGAGAAATCTTTGTTGCATCATGTCGTCTTCAATATTTTCTGTAAATAGTTGAAACTTGGCATGATATTGGCTAATGCCTTTAGCTAGTGCCTTCCTTTCTTCAAATCTCAATACGTTTCATTATTAACAAAAATTTGATATTTAATTACCTAAATTGCTGTCGAAAAATTGAATTTTCCCTTAATATTCACATTTAATATCAAAATTTTGAAAAAACCAACTTTAAGGTGAAAATAAAGAGAGGAAGGCACTAGATTAGGTTCTAAGTAAATTTGAGTAATTGGTTCATGTGATATCATGTTTCAAACGTTGAGCATTTATGGGCTAATTAGCGGCCGTCATATTAGTTTAGTTTAGTTTAGTTTAATGAAATATGTCACATTACATTACATTGCGAATTACAAATTACAAATAAATACAGGACTTGCACACAAAGACGGAGTGACAGGAGAGGAAAACAGGACTAACGTCCCAATTGACAATCCTCCCCCTTTATATACTACAAAAATATAAAATACCTTGTGAACACAATACACAAGAGTATAGTTTACGGTGGACAATACAAAGCTAGCTTATTTCTGTAATAACGAAGAAGGAGGTTTTTGAATTCGGTAAGACTGGATGCATGTTTTATGGAATGAGGGAGCTCATTCCATATCTTAACTGTCCTAGGGAAATATGAATTTATAAAGTAATTCTGGCGATGGGATGAATAAAAGCGATAATTTGCTTCATCAAAGTTTCGCGTAGCATAACCAGACGAGGCTGGTTGTAATAAGTTCTGGAGGTTAGCGTTAATAAGACGAGTCTTAAACTTAAAAAGGAGAATTAGATCTATTGTTTCTCTGCGATGTTCCAATGGGAGTATGCTCAACATGGCTAATCTTTCCGTATAGTTTACATTGCTTGGGTAGTCCAAAATAAACTTTGTGGCACGACGCTGTATATTTTCGATAAGTTTCTTGTGCTTTACTGTGTAAGGTGACCATAGACTACTCGCGTACTCTAGTAGAGGTCTAACTAATGACACGTATTAGTTAGACCTCTACTAGAGTACGCGAGTAGTCTATGGTCACCTTACACAGTAAAGCACAAGAAACTTATCGAAAATATACAGCGTCGTGCCACAAAGTTTATTTTGGACTACCCAAAATTGGCTAATTAGTCTAATTAGTGACTTTGTGAAAATTTTTATTGTGAAATTTCTAAAAATGATACTTTCACATTAATATGGCATAAATTGAAAAAAAAAGGTTTAAAGGTGAATGACCACCGCAGTTAACCTACGAGAATCACACATTTTAAAATGAACTGTTATTTAACGTAAATGGACTAATTATAAAAAGTACGCAAGATGTGACGGTCCAAAATCGTACAAGTGTTTCACATTCGGTATGAAAATTAAAATAAGATGATCACTGCTTCCAAGAAACATGCAGGGTTTTTAGGATTCGCAAATTGAGAATACCAAATCGAATTTTTGCTACAGTTCTGTTTACTGCCAGCAAATGAAATACTCGCATCTGCCCTACATAATAAAGTTGATACAGATTGTCCGAACCTCGCGTCACCGCATTGAATATAAATATGAAAATTTGTTGTTGTTGTTGTTTATTTTTCTAATTTCATCCCACACGGCAAGAATGTTATTTCCCTGAATTCTGCGACCGGGTTGGTGGCGCACCGCGATTTCACCTATTAATGTGAACATGCACGCCGCAACTTTATACTGGGCAGCAAGATCAAAGTTTCAGTATCGTTAAGATATACAAAGATCTTTCAAACCTTTTCAGGAGGCCTAGGCAGTGATTAAAGATGATACAGTATAGCACGTAATTTTTGACCGGATCCCATAGCAACTTGCATTTGATAAATATTGAAATTTGCCTGTTTGCTGTGTTATACGATAATTCTTATCGATATACGGCCGGTTATTTGATCCTGGCAAACTGGGAAATTCATATGATTTTCGCATCTTTTCATATCTTCTTCTTTTCATTTTTTCATCTTTTCGCATTTTAAATCGAAATCAAGATATCTTAATATAATATTTTTTGGCAAGCAAATTGTAGGTTTAAGTAGTTACAGTGATAAAATAGATAGTGGTGGACGAATATTTAAGCGATGCATATATATATATATATATATATATATATATATATATATATATATATATATATATATATATATATATATAAGATGAATCCCCCTGCTTAACAGAATCAAAGACCCTTTAAAACATGGAAAACTCTTACTTGTTGTACTCCTGGATTTGTTAGCTTGGAACGTTTATTGGAATTTCCGAGTGTTCTGAAGAGGAAATATCATCAGTGCTTTGTCGTTCGTCTTGAGAACTTGATTCGTTGTTTTCTGATTCAATTGCTGCGTTTTCTTCTATGCCAGCCAATCGATCATCAGAATCCGACTGAGTAATCGAGACTGGGTTATTTTCAGTATTGCTGTCTGTCAAGGCATCAACATTATGGTGATGTTCAGTGTCTACAGTGGGTTCCACCACATTGACTGGCATCATTGGCAACAAAGGATTAGTAAGCTTGTCAATATCCAAAGAAATAATGGAAGACGCACTCTTGGTAATTCCCATTGATTTTGATGAAAATAGAATTTGAACGCATTTATTTAAATAGGGTACAAGTTCTTTGGCCAAGACAACACAAAACTTATGAAATAGTTCTTTCTCTTCGTGGTTCAAGGTAGTACATTCCGTGCTATACAACAAAACAAAGACAGACGAGATCAGCCTCCAATACCAAACTTACAATAAACCCGTCGTATTATTTACTTTATTTCTACGGTCCCCTTTTATTCACTAGGGAATACGGTACAATTAAAACAATTATACTCCTTTCAACTTATCAGTACAATCAACTTCGAAACTTCGGCGGTTGATAAGGATGTAAGTACCTGAAAAATACAAGGCGAACTTCGACGTTCCGAGCGAAGGCCCTTCGTCGAGGTTCTCCTTGTATTCTTCAGGTACAATAGTTGCATCCCTATCACCAGAAGTTGTTGTTATTATTCAGGGTTCGTAGTCCACTCTCCAAGACCAAAAATGTTCAAAGACTTTTAAGATTTTTTCTGCGTATTTTCAAAGACTTTTGAGAGCAATCAGCTGTCGAAACATTGCGCGTGTAAGCACCATTTTTACCAAGTAATTAGTGCCGTAAATCAAATACTCACTAAAGAATTTAAAGACTTTCTTCGCTTTTTCACACAATTCAAAGACTTTAAAGACCTGCATTCAAATTTAAAGACTTTCAAGGATTTCAAAGACCGCTAGGAACCCTGTTATTGCATGGCACTACCTACACGAAGGACAGACTGTTCAAGATTATCCTATTAATGTTAGAAATATATAATCTATTAAAATCGTTTCAACGTTTCTGCAAACAGATATCTACAGACATGCAGATATCACTAACCTCAAAAAGCAACATTCGACAGCCCCGAGACTAAATTAGCAAATAAACAAGATTTAACTTACCGGTAAAACGAAGTTGTTTCGGCAACAACAATGCCAAGCGAATTTTGCAGACATTTTGTCACAGAATGAGCAATTCCAAGTGGTGCACAAAGACGAAGATCATTTAATGCAGCCAGAACAGCATTGGTAAAGGTCGCCAATGGAGGATGCTCTAACAGTACAACTGGAGGTGTCTCGTTCGAAGTATGCATCTACGAAATTATACGAAAATTTCTCAAGGACATCTCAAGAAATTAGGTGCCATTGCACCACAACAATGTGTACCAAAACAACATTAACAGTTCCACCATATGAGTTGCTATACTCACTCGCTGCCCTCGGCAGCAAAAACGAAGAAGTATTCAATCGTTGATACCCCATAAAACTTTGTAGAAATCAACTGTTAAATACAGATTAAGGTGGCTCGATATAGTTATCACAAAAACTCTGCTCAAGAATCGCGAACTCAAAACCGGGTGACCATTTTTACGCGCACAAGTCGCGCAGGTCGCGGAAACTGATTAACAAAATGAAAGAACTTCCAAAATGACTTGACGTGAGCAGTTGCTCGCGCCATATCACGCCATTGCGCGTGTTCTATAGCGTTTTATGTCAATGCGCTATATCTCTTTATTTTGTCTGGTGACCTATGTTGAAATTTTGCATGCTGTATTGCACTGCTAAAAACTTTCATTATACAAAAAATAAAAAAATTCTGTAATGCCAAAAAAAATTTACCGAAGAATATGACATTTTCGCATTTTCCAAAAAAATGGCATTACAGAATTTTTTTATATTTTGCTAATTGTTAGCTTTTCGTCCAAGTAAAATAATGCACGAAAAAAAATTGGGGGTCACCATGCTTTTTTTCCAACTATACGAGACGATAAGGTCATTTTGGAGTGAATTTCGTACACGTATGTCGTCATAGCAACGAACTATCTGTTACTAAAACTAATATCGTTTGAAAGTAGAGTTATCAAAATATATAAAAAACCCAATATCTGCTGAATAAATCCTAAAAATGCGTAGTTTGAACATGTCAAAGTGTTAAACACCTGAATTTTTGAAAACTGTATCGAGCCACCTTAAACATGAATATATTCTAACCTTGCTTGGTGTCGAGGCCAAGATGGTTGATGTCAGAGTGGGAGGAACTGAAACAAGTTGGTAGCCATTCATCGTCGCTTTAAAACTAGATAAAATAAACAATTGTTCCATTCACAACAGAACTTTATGATGGCACATGCAGAGGCTCCCAACAGAACTGTCCATTTTACCTTTAGTATAAGCAAGGACTCACTACTGAAAACATGAAGTACATTGATTTTTGCTAGTTGATTGTGTGTTTGCAGTTAATGGTCCTGATATTGACCAAAGGCCATGGACGAAACACTTAGTAAATATTTTAAAATTTCATTTTGTGATGGTTTATTTAATTACCTGGATTATGCTGGGCATTGATTTCATCTTACGATTTTTGAAACGACTTTTTCAAAAATCGCAAGCATGCGTTTTCTTGCAAGCGTTTCATTGCATGCGTTTTCTATTCTGCTGCGCATTTTGATGCAGCTTTTGTACATGGTGACATTTTCGCGTAATCATTTCATGTTCGACTTATCAGAGCCTGAAAAGAAATCTTCGGTACAAAAAAGGTATACGCACCAAACTTTCTACAAATATAGTCTATCATTGTTAAAACAGAGAATATTGTCTTGATGATGGTTCCAGGAGGCTTGCCCTGTTTGGGCCTGTTGCATGCCTCTCCTTACTGCGTATTTATTTAATATTTTAATTGCTAACTGCAGTTAAAGTTCAATAAATGATAAATGAGGCATGACGAGTGGAAGTCAAACTAAAAATCTGCAAGACAAGGGCATAATGGACATTAAATTTTACCTCTGCGCAGCAGCGTCCATAGCAAAAGAGAAAGAAGACAAAGCAGCTTCTTGAAAGAGAGGCGCAAGTAGCCCTCGAAAATCTGCTCCAACTCTGCTGAAGGATAATCCAAAGTACATGCATTGTCCTAGCAATGAATCCGATCTGTTTCCAACGCCTCTCTTTAGATCGTCGCGTAAAGTGGACAGAAATGCAGAGATCTGAAAATAGTTAGCAACTTGTCATGATGTAAACTTTTATTGTTGAAAACACAACGTGGCATCCAAGGCTGCCGAGAGCTCGTGCAGGCCCCAGGGCAAAACCTTCCCAGGGAACTATATGACGTGATTGACGTCACACTGTAATTGTAAAACAGGAGAATGGGTGTTTTACAATATACTGTATTACATTTTATTGGATATTTTTCGGCACTGGTGCAGCTAGAATTTATATTTTCGTTTAATTAAGCAATCTTGCAATACATTTCCATTGCATGTGATCAAGTAATTTGCCTTGTAGGTTTCTAATGAAGTGCTACCTTTTGAACAATCCAGGCATGAAACAAGCCACTGTTGGAGGAACTGTCATCGTCATCACCAAATAAACTTGGATCGTCATCAGAGAAAATTGCTCTGTACTGAGTAATAATGTCGAACAAATGAACACGACTAGCTTCAATAGTCTTACTTATATGGTGATATGGATCGTCGTGGGGTATAGCGGAGAGAACACTAGATAACCAAGTATCTCTGGCTTGTAAGAATTTCATTCTCAGTTCAGTTTCAGAAAACACATCAAGCCTTCGCAAGTAGCCAATTATCCGCAAACATTGTGGCAATTGTATGTTAGTTCTGAGCTGTTGTAATAACTGGACAAGCATGAGCTGACTTGAATTATATACAGCAGTAATAATGTTCTTGATGACAGTGATGCTAGCAAATCTCTTCTCTAGTCGTTTAACAAATGTAGATAGTTCTAAAGCTTCTTCGTAGTAGCCATTCCTTACACATGTATCCATCAACTATATTGGGAGAAATTATTTTGATTAAAATTATACACACACAATTGCAGATACATATAGCCACTGTTTCACCCCACCGATATTTTAATTTCTATTTACAGCTTGGGACATGCCGACAATGTTCAGCAATGATAACTATATATGTACATAATATAGATCTGTGCATGAAATTGCATTGTACGAAAAAATGCCTCGAGAAACATGGCCTTTAATCTATCATTCTATCTTCAATACTTCAGTTATTTTATGGAAGCAGTACAACTAAGGTTGCAAGAAATTTGTAATGTATGAATGTTTGAATAATCATTCACGTTTTTTTTACTTCTATTTAATCAGAACATAATTACGGCTACTGCTACATTGCTTTTAACCTACTTCAGCCTGGTGACTTGTTATGAAAAAATGACAATTTCCAGCCTTCTTTTCAAGAAAACCAACATCAAGCAAACTTCTGTTAACAAGTGAAATAATTAAAATACCTGTGGGATTTCCAGTACTTCCAGCAACTGGGTGTGTCTACCAAGTATCATAGAATTTGAATAACGTCTAAAACATAACAGGTTTTAATTTTAAATAAAGTCAAACTCCACATTATGTAGTAGTGACAGTTGAGTTAAAGTTACATATTAAAGTGATTTAGTTTTCCAAAAACTTGTTAATTATATGATTATACAATTCATCTCGAAAAAACACAGGTTGCTTCTAAATAGACAGTTTTAATTGCTACTTAGGTGACCTTACCGTGAATTGATTTCTTGTCCAGCTTCTTGGAATTGTTTACATTTCTCAATAAAAGATGGGAGTGCATTCAATAAGGAGTCAACTTCAGTTTCAACATGAATAAACTAGAACATAATACAAATTAAAAATTGTATTTTTTTCTGCATGGCAATTTCTGTATCTGAATTATATTAAACATTAAATAAAAGCATGACTGGCAAATGCAGAGTAAACAAGACACATGCTTGACAGGGTTAGCTCCACCAGGGATGGACTCCACCCATACCTAGTCTTCTAATAACATCACAAACATCTGTTTAACACCAGATGACTTTACCCAGGAGTGTAAAGAGTCCATAAACTACAGTATCCAGGGCTTTCCTCTGGGGGCGCGCGATCGCGCCAGCGCGCGCCCACGTGAATCTGGGCGCGCGATTTATCGCGCACACAAATTTGATTTAAGGATAATCGCGCGTTACAATGTTGACACACGGTGAATTAATTAAGATATCATGTAACAAAACCAAATTTCATTTGACAGTTTAGAACTTTACATTATTTAACAGAGAGCGCAATATTATCGGTATTCTTTCAAAGTTAGGGTGTTTATAATTGAAGATGGCCACCAAAGGCAATAAAGTGGATCTTGGCAACTTTTATGAAGTGGGGGAAAATGGTGTTATTGGCTAGAAGACGATCAACGATGGGCAATGTGTGTGTTAATTTTGTTTAGTGCAAACTTTTGTCAGCGCAATGAAAATGCTTTATTTCAGCATCCAAACTGCAAATAGCCTGTTAAGAAGTCCGTCAAATCATATATTGAGGGAACAAGCTTTGTGAGCAAGCACACAGTCAATCGGCATCTGGAGAGCGAAGGCCATCGCAATAGAAAGCACGCAGCCTGCGAGTGAAGAGTAAAACTTTTTGATAAAAGTTATAAATAGATCTGACATTTGTTTTTTTATTGTTATTAGTGACGATTGACATTATACTTTCTTCAAGAATACAAATTTAGCGGTTCGCACCTTCCAATTTACATAGCAAAACATGCTGAAAGTTTTTTTTTAATGAAAGAGCTCTAATGCTATTGTATAGCTGTCATTTGCAAACTCTGAACCGGAATTTTGCCGCGTACTTTCATCTGATTCTAATTTTATAACTTTACTTATACTAATTTATAGTTATTCATAAGTGAAATTCTATTAATTAATAGAGCCTTAAAGTAAGTTTAAATTAAGTACAAACAAGAAGTACAGTAAGTAACTAAGCTTGATGATATGTATCCTTCCAGAAACATTGAAATCATGATGTATAAATTTTATCACGAGCATTTGTGCTTTTTCCTTCAATTTCTTATGTTGTAACGTTCTCAAAAGTTGAATTATACACATTCCACTTTATTAAGTCAATATTTGCATGCTAACATATGTGTAAAACTGCATTGACATGACCTGCTTGATGTGTTATTGTTTTGTCTAGGTCAATCTGCGTATAAAATAAACGACTAATAATCGCGCGCGCAGTTTGATTTGCCCGCGCGATTGTCCGCGCGCGCAATTTTCTGAGTTGGAAAGCCCTGAGTATCTAACTCAAACCTTGCTCACATTTGCTCATTTTGCCTGTGACATACATACCAAATGCTAGCCCAAAATTGACCAAACCTGCCAAAGCCAGCCAAGTAAAGCTCAGGCTGCATGCATCTAACTGTATCTCTTAGTATTATTAAACTCTAACAAAAAGAATCATTCAGTTAAATCTATCTAAAACTAGATCATATTATTCACTCAAATGGGCATGGGTGGAATCTTGGGTACATATAAAATTGTACGGTACTTACATCTTGAAAAATTTCTCTTGAACAATCAGCTGTCTTAATAAAGGTTTTATAATTATTAAATGCAAGATCTTGTGTCTGTTCCAACAACTGAGATCTTTCTTCTGATAGTCGTTCAGGTTCAGAAACTACAGCAAAACAATAAGCTCTTTGTAGTTTTGTAATATTATTTAAGAACTTTTACACAAGATGAACAATCCAGTACAGCTACTGCTATTATCAATATGTGTCCTCTATACTAGTAGTTGACCTGCATATCTAAGGATGAAAAGGGGCTTATATTCAGTTATGCAAATTTGTTTTTGTAAAACTGTAAAATCAGATTTGTTGGGTCAGTGAATATATGCTAATAGCCACCTAAGCTGACCTTATATGCAAATTATGATTATTTGTTATGATGGACCAAAAGCAAACTCTGTTCACATCCATGTCGCATTGAATAATTTGAATTAAATGTCATAAAATGTTAGCATATTATTCGCAGAAAGAAACTAAAACTACATGTATGTCAACATCTTAGTGTTTCCCCCGGGTTGACATTCAAACATTTACCATTTTCCATTTAGCATGGTCTGTTTGTGTATAACTTGCTAAAATTGCAATTCACAGGAACTCTAAGCTAAACACAATATCAACTCCTTTGTGACTTAATTAGGACAACAGTGTGTGCAAGATCTGCAAAACAACTACAGTATGTAATATATATGTGATATAAGAACGTTTTTGATTGGCTGAAGTATGTACTAAATAATTGATGAAGAACGTTTGTGTCAAGATACAAACATGTTTTCTTCACATGCTCACTAGGTTTGCATGTTTTCAGATATTAGGTTTGTAAATGAAGATGATACTCATGAAGTGTATTCTGACAAGTCGCATAAACATGCTGATAATGACCAAAACATGACAAAAAAATACTGTCCTTGAAAATGTGTATGTAAAAACTGTTTTCAAGGAAAACATAAAAATGCCTAGAGGATTTTCAAAACAGGTTTAGTTAGCAAGGTTGTGCCGACCTAAATCTATAATACCATTTTGCAGGCTACAACAAAGAACAGGCATTTCTGCCATAAAACACAGGCTTTTCTGCCATAAAACACAGGCTTTTCTTTTGTGCTTTGATGAACCTAGTTCTGTGACTTACAAATCAAGCATAAAATTAAACATATGGTATATTAAATAGAAAAAAAGACCGTTTTACATACAATACAATATTTGTATGAATGGCTGCCTTGTGACCATGACCATACAAGTATGATGTTCGAAATTTTTCAACGTTGCAAATGCCCCACCATGGGGTCCAAATTATGCAACAAAATCCCCACCCTTGGGGACTTACATTGATGCAAATGCCCCACCTTTGGGGACAAAATGTAAGTTTTCTGAGGATTTCTGGACCAAAAAATGAAATTCAGGCCCTATCTCATATCAATATATCTGCATTTAAAATCGATTCTGTAGCCATTTCGTTTCAAAACGTTTTTAACTAAAATATTGAAGTCTCAAAACTTGATATAACAATATCAAACTGCAGAAGTAAGGCAATGTATCAACAGTATGGACAAAAAAGTCCAAAGTAGGTATGTCCGCCATGCAATATGCACGCTTGTGTAACATGCATATTAAAATATGTCTAAATGGCAAAACAAGCGTCAAATACTCGACTTTTTAGCCTCGAGCAAATTATCCACCCCGGGGCTAACCTGCAGAGAGCAAAAACCCGACCCTGGGAACAAGTAAAGTTGAAAATGCCCAACAAATGCCAGGGGGGGGGATGGGCACCCATGGAATTGATTGAGGCATTTAGTCCCCCAAAGTAAATTTTTTTGAAATAATGGCATGATCAAGGGCAAATTTTGGCATACCTCCAGTGTAGGAGACCCTGGCCAGCTCGGCTGCTTGTCAATAATCACACAGGAACTCACATCTTGTTGCCATACTGTATAAACAGTGGCTAGCCCGCTAGCCGTTGTTAACTTTTTTATCAATGAAAAGTACTTACCAAGTCGGTCAATATTTGATGAGCTGAGTTCTGATAAGTAGTAGGTAAAATCTGGATTTTCCTTCCAATTATCTGCAAGAAACATTCACATTATAAACTATTATAATTTAGTACAACGTATCAACTATCACAAAAGTCATGTCGACATGTCAAATTATGCGCATTCACGAATTAGTAAAATTCATGGTATTTTTGAAAGTCTGTGACATTTTATTATTCCAAGAAAGTGTATCAACGAAATAAAAACGCTTTTCGGCTTACCAGGAATAGTATCTTTAAAAATAGCAGAGAGTAAATCTCTGTTTGTCGAACGCAACAAAATACCATCTTCTCTCAACGCGGCCATATTGTGAAATGAACACGTGGCATCGTGCTTTCTCAAATACTTCATATTATATCAGAATATTATGGTCCGTGCTCCCACGCGCGCGTTCATCCACGAATACCTTACATTTCCTGGGTAAACAGCCCACATTTCCTGGGTATACAGCCCCCGTGTTAATTAATTAAACCCGATAGTCTCGTTTTCATTTGGTTATTTCCTCATGCTTCACACACAATACCGTTGTGAATAAAATGACAAAATGAGGGCGGAAAGAAAAGGCCGTTTTACGTTTTACCGGGGTCCGGGATTTAATATGGAGTGTAACAACATTACTCCATTAGTGCTGCCTAAAGTATCAAGATTGGCATTGTATTAGCTTGAAGCCAACACAGACATATCAAACTCTATGACTACGTATTTCGGCCAGCACATCGTAGTGTCCCACAAATAGATTGAGGTATGAAAAACAAGACCGCGAAATTAAAAATAGCATATGTGCCTATAATAGGAGAGTAATCTGCTGCTTGGTCAGTCAAGCATTACCTGCTTAATTAACTTGTTCAAGGGGAGGCGAAAAAGTCGATGAAAAAGTGTAGTCCTCAATAAGTCCAATAAAGAGCCGAGGAGCACTTACATTACTCATTGACATTAGTGCTGGGCTATATTCGAAGGAGCGGAGAAAGGATATCTTATCAATTGCCAAACTGGCCAACGTGATGTCGGTGATGAGAACTTTGCAGTGGCGTGCTGGCAGGGGGGGGGGGCGGGGGGCCACGGCCCCCCCAGCTGGCAATTCTTGGGGGGCGCAAAAATGAAAATGGGGCGCCGAATTTTGAAAGTGGGTGGGAAAAAACACATTCTCGAAAAAATATGGTTACTTCCGCCAAGAAAAGACGTGTTTATAGGCTACAGTATAAAACAGACTAAGCGCATAGGCGACATATATTAAATTACAGACTATTTTGCCTAACCGTATTTGCTACCTCGCAGCTCACACGAAATCGTTCATATAGAAACATTATCAGTGATCACAGGCAATGTCTCATTACCGGAATATTGGTCAGGTTTCGATCGAAGCGATCACGGGAATTATGCCCTTTTTTGCTGGTATTATGCCCTTATAATATGCTTCACGAATCACGAGAGCGGCGCAAATTAGATATTTGAAGTTATGATAACTGATGTAAAGTTGTGTACGCAATTTAGTTGTTTGCACAAGAAGCATGAGTAATGTAAGTAATGAAATAATGCTGAAACATGCCCTTTTGGCAGCCAGGCAAGGAAACCTTAAAATGCATATGCGTGGGGTGCGTGTGTTATTGTATAAAAGAGCTTTAAGTTGTAAATGTGCTCAGAACAGTAGATCAGTAGAGAACAGAATTGGGATTAAATTAATCGCTGGAAGTAGTTATCATTGCATAATTTAAGTACTACTACTAAATTCTAATCAAATTGCAAATTTCGACACGTTATAATGCCGTTTCCTGACCATCAGATTTCTGCCAAATCTTCCCCCAAAGTCCAGGAAATGGCATTTCAGAGACTCTAAATTCAAAAATTTTCCTGGGGGGCATGCCCCCGGACCCCCCTAGACAAACCCCGCACCTGCGGCACTCGGCTCGTGCCTTCGGCCCTCGTTTATCAAGTGTAGCATTATAGGGGCGCATATTGGTTGACAGCCCACTGGCCCCTCCAGAAAAATAGTACCCAGCACGCCACTGGAACTTTGGTCTTTCCCAGTGGGCCTCGTTTCATCAGCAATATCGCGAGATTCGTCAACTGGGATTGTTGCTTGAATAAATCGTAGCCAGTAGTAGTTCCTTGTTGAATGACTATGCCAATAGTGGTACGATTGTCGCCGCGACATGAAAAATCCTAAAAGTGAGAGCGATGCACTTCTTCCAGTCGAAACGATATATGACCAATAACTCATCTTGCGCTCTGAATTTAAGCGTTAACTTAGTCCCCAGGGGCAGGTTGTATAAAACTCCTAATCACTTTTTTAATCACTATTTTGTAATTAAATAGTGATTAACTCTCAAATACGCGCTTCTTATTGGATGACGTTTCCACTAACTATAGTTAACTTTAATCACTTTTTTATACTGTACAACCGGCCCCAGGGCGTTGGCTAATCCTTAGACATGCCATGATAAATTTAATTAATTTGAATTCCTTCTCCCGGCATTATTCGGAACCAGAGATTCGGAACCATCCCACTGTGAATAGTTTGGCTTACGCGGACTGGCTAACTAAACTAGTCAGCCAATCAGCGATGATCAAAAACCAATCATGTAATGCACAAGTTCAGCCGATACAGACATAAAAACGCGCACGGTTGTGACTGATCTAGATGTAGCCCCCGTTTACACTATACCGGATTGCTATCGGAGCGGGTCAAATTTTGTAGGTATTGAAAGGTCTTGAAAGGCTGTGAAGATTTTTATAATCTCAGAGACCCAAATAAACATGCCAATTCTGTCAAACTAATAAGCATTTGCTACTAACCATTGCTCCTTAACACATTGGGATGTGTTCGCACTGCTTGTTCTCAGTTGTTGTGGCAAGTTGGAACACGTACGGTTAACACCTTGTTACAAGATTGATGGCGTTAACTTGCTACAAGTTGTTCTAACAAATAACCGAGCGAAAGGTCTTTACAAAGAAATATCGGACCGAGCTGGTCTTTTTTTAACAGACCGAGCCCGTAGGGCGAGCCACAAAAAGACCGAGGTCCGATATTTCTCTATAAAGACCGAGCAAGCGAGGTTAATAAAAAGTTTATTATGTATGGCATTCATAGTCGAAACAAACAAAAAATGCATGATTTGAAATGCATATATAGTAGTAAAATAGTAGCGTGGTACACATTTGATTGAAGAAAACAAAAAATCAGTGACCAATGTATTCCTTCGTTTCCACTTAAAACCATTCGCAGATATCTTATTAATGACAAATTAAATTATAATTTTCAAATTTTCAATTAGTTTTGCTGTTTTGTTTTAAAATGCATGCGTTTGTTTTTACGTATGGGAAAATAATGGTCGCTGAAAGTGCTTCTCAGCCAATCACAGTCTGCCATTTCACCGGAAGTGATGCTCGCCATATTAATAAAAGGCCGTTCGTTCGTAACAGGTTGCTACCGCACCCGCTTGTTGTCACCAACTTGTTAAGAAGTGGCCAGGCATATTTTTCAAGCTTGCCCGGCGTGGATATACACTCAGAATAACATCACAAGCATCATGTGATGGGAGAAGATCATTCATGTTCCAAGGTGGAAAACTTTGGAATACACTACCAGCAGATCAGAAAGAGGAGTGTTCGATAGTTCAGAATATTTTTAATGAATGAATACAGATAAATAACATCATATACTCATTCTCATTTTATTACCTAAAACGTTTAATAGAACATTAGAACCTAATTAGTCTTTTTATATATCTATTTATATATAACGTAGTTAATTATATATAGTTAACCTAGTTTTTATAGAACAGTTTACAGGTCCTCTATTGATAACAGTATTCTTATACTGAATGAGTATACCTGTATGTAAATAAACTAAATATTGTGTATAATAATAATAATAATAATAATAATATTCACCTGAGTACATTACACCAACACAGAAAATAAATTATCATGATATATCAGACTTGTTGGAACAATTTGTTTCGAGTCTGTTAGCCTCATCAGTCACCAACCTTGTTAGAAGATGATAACAACTTGTTCCAGACTTGTCAACGACTTGGAACAAACAGATATAACTAATATTCCATCTTTAACTAACTAACTAACTAACTAATATTCTATACTTTTAAAAGCCTTTAGTCCTGTAAATTTCCAAGTATTTATAGAAATTTTCTAAAGCTTATCGGAATCAGCCGTCTTGTATAAAGCTACACCGCCCGCAGATAAGAGGCTGCTACTGTGCTACACAGGCTAATCCTTCAGCGTTGTTCCCTGGACTTGGTAATCAATCAGAAAATTCCGTCCTCTTCTCATTCACCTTCCTTCCCCCAGATTCAATTTGGAATTTGAGTGTACGCAGCGTAAAAGTCACTTTTATCTGAAAATTCTCTTTTACTGAAACACCAGTTATACAACGGGATTATACAATTGATTGAACATTGGTCATAGCATTCAACACATTCTTAGATCATGAATAATGATTTAAATTATTCCAAAAATAGTGTTTGCAAGGGGAATGTTAGGAGATCACGATTGGAGTGGGGAAAAAGGACAAAAGCTTCTGCTGGAATGTTTTAATAGCCTATTCCACAATCAAAGATCACTTATTAATCAGTTCTCAATTCGGGGCTTGGACTCCTTTTAAATTAACCTCCCCTTCCTTTACCCCCGCCCCGCACATGCATGTAGCATGAGAAAGGCTCCTTACGAAAACTGGAAGTAATATATGAAAAACGAGAGCGAGTGTTTCACCGGGATATCCAAACACGAGAAAATAATGTATGAAAACACGAGCGCGAAGCGAGAGTATTTTCATACATTGTTTTCGAGTGTTTGAATATCCCGGTGAGACACGAGCTCGAGTTGTTTATATGGCTTCTCAAATTATCGAGACGTAACAGAATATTTTCGTTTGCTGATTTGAATAGAATAACCAAGCATAACGTAATTAGGAATTCTATTCAAGTAATTTTGCATGCGTAATTAAGATATTTGATGAAAACACTAGTGACTTTCATCAAGTTTCACCGGGTTATCCAAATGGCATCTTGTGATCAAATAGGTGATTATCATTGGCTGAATTGCTCATGAATTATTAATGAATTTGAGAAGCCACATATCCAATGCCCGCACTCAGTCAGGCAGGCAGCAAGCAATGTGGCACTATGTTCCCTACTTTGCCATGTGTTTAAAAAACAGGAATGGTAAGACAATTTTAAAAATATAATTTCATGGCTTCATACCGACATGTTCACCCTTGATTTACAGTATATTACACTCTCTATAGTACATTTTATTAACCAGGTGGATTCTCGTTGCTAAGGCAAGCGAAATCGAACTCCATATCCACTTTTTATTCACTTTGAAACATCCCAATGGATGTATTTTGCAGGCTTCGTAAACGTATAACATAGCTTTCAATCAGCATTTTCTTAATCGAATTCGGATGCCTCGTGCGAAAGTACATTGTCAGAGTACTGCACGATCTCGTTTGCAGACCTGGCTGACGTTGCGATTCTTTTGTCCAACGGACATAATCACAGACTTAGAGGAGAACTAACTCTCAAACCATCTCTTCAGTTTTGGGAACACTGTTCATTAATTGCTAATTCAATCTGTCTGGGTAGGCACAGCACAGAAATTTGACATACGAGTATACATTTTAGTCAAAATATATATAGAGAACCGTCAGAAGGTCCAACATACTGAGCAAGGATTAAAATAAAGTCAACAAGGGTCCACACACCAAGGCCACCAAAACTAAACAACTTTGCCAGTCCTTCTTTCCAGTATCCCAAGTAAAATCTATCAACACCAAAGCCACCTAGAGTTAAACTAAAAGGAAAAAAGATCGATTTACAACAACAATAAACAAAAACAACAAAAACAACAAAAACTACACACGTAAAAACGCACAAGTTATTACAGATCAACAAACAAGTTGTAACAAGGTTGTTGTCAAGCCGATATCAGGATGTGTTCGTACCGCTTGTTCCCAGTTGTTGTGACAAGTCTGGAACAAGTTTTTATCAGTTGATGACGGTAACAGACTTGCTACGTACGAGTTGTTCCAACAAGACTGATACAGGCTGCTCGTAACAAGTTGCTACGAGCTTGTTGTCATGACGTTGTTAACAACTTGTTACATGCAGACTTGTTGAAACAACTGTTGGCCCTCATAAACCTAGTTACAAGATGATAACAACTTGTTCCAGGCTTTTCAACAACTGGGAAACAGGCAGTGCGAACAAATCTTTTAAACACGTTAAAACGCACAAGTTATTACAGGTCTGCAAGTTGTCAAAAATCTGTTCACAAGCTGTCGACAAGTTGTGTTCGCACTGCTTGTTCCTAGTTGTTATAACAAATTTGAAACAAACTGTTAACAACTTGTAACAAACTAGAAGGCATTATCATGAAGATTTGTTACAAGGTTGTTGGTGTAAATAGCGAGCAACATTTGACATTTGATATAGTTAATAATAAGTTCTGTTATGGTTTATATAGACATTTAAGTGATGCCATTATAGGCGCTAGTTGTATCAGTATTTTGTAAGAGAGACACGCGAGACTAAAGAGACGGTTTAAAGGACGGATAGTTAGAGAGATTAACGTAAAGTTGTAGTTTGAGTCAAGTCCTACAGGGATCTACCCTTCAGGTACAAATGTTTAATTGTTTTATATGTTATATTTGTAGTATTGTGTTATTAGTCAATTTTACCATGTTATGTCGCGAAAATATGATTGGAATGCATGTGTTTTAGCCTTTATACTTATATTAGGTAACTTTCATTTTGTATGGAATATATTATATCATTAAATATTAGAAGAAATCCCTGTTCGACTCAGTAAACCAGTCAGTGCCAACCAGTTGTTCTAACAAGCCTATAATACAGTCATGATATAACAAGAATGTTACAAGGTTGACGACACAATGTTGTAACAATATTGTTATTTCATGCCTGTATCGGACTTGTTGGAACAACCTTGCAACAAGCCTGATAATGTCATCAAGCTTGTTACAAGTTGTTAACAGCTTGTTCCATACTTGTCGACAACTTGGGACAAGCAGTGCGAACACAACTTGTTGACGGCTTGTTGGCAGACTTGCTGCAAGGTGTGAGATTTTTGCGTGAGTAGAGGGCACTCGGAGACTGCATATACCTCCATCAGCAAATTATGTCACGTATCATGTTAATAATTGTTGTGCATTTATGTAAGAAAATCATATACTGTATTCATATCAATGATCGTAAACAGGCCGTATATGTACTGTACTGTAAGTATCAGCCATTTCATTTCAAATGTTATCAGCATGTTTACACACTACAGAATAAAATATTATTCGATATTCAATTTTTTCATTCGGAGGAGAACTACTTGATAATGTGTAGTCTAATACGCATCCAAAATGCATGCTGACATAATTCGTGTACCTTAGCAATGCTGCTGTTGACCATCGATAACCGGAAGTCCAGTTACATATTAGAATTTTACCAAATGTTCGGTTGCCTTTAAAATAAAATAAAAAAAAAACACAACTATGTTGTTGGTATTGTATGTACTGCATGAGATAGCTTATAAGTTTAGTTTCCTGAAACACATGAAAATTCTACACATACAATATATTTGAACGACCCGCACTCTGTGAAATATTGATGGCTACACTAAGATCTGCGTGTATATCTACCATATCTACAAAACTTACCAAGACACAACGTTGTCTCCTTCACAGTACAAGTTGTATTATATCTTCGTTTACTTGGAATTTCTAATGCCTAGAATATTTTAAACATTCCTTTCAAAAATTGCATATTATTATACCAAAATAATTAACAAAAATGCCAACTGCAGCAAATGGAAAACACTGGTCCTTATATAGTCAGAGCTGTTTGATTGATTGAAAACAAACCGCCATATAACTTCATCGGTTTTATTTAAAGCTTGTTTTAAAATAAAGCGCATTAACACTGTGAGTTGCTTGCTTCCTAAAAGATGCAGATATTGATTAAAATCAAGACAAAATTTTATGTGGTCATATTTCACAAGAAGTGTATTACAGTACTCCGAAAAAGAATACGTACGAGCATTTTTTTGGATTTCAAAATTCCTGCAAAAATACCCGGCGATTTTTGAGCAGATTTTCTGCGTATTTTAAAGATTTTAAGGAGATTTGGGGACCTTGAAAGGGATTTCGCCGTTTTTGCAAGAGATGTCGACATTTTTAGCTACTCTGATTTTTGCGGGATTTTTAGTGATTTCAATACAATATACTGTAGGACTTTTTGTATTTGGGATTTTAGGTATCTCAAAGTTTTTAGCAGGAGATTTCGGGATTTTTCGAAAGATTTTTAGGGATTTTTTGGAAAGTGTACGAGGATTTTTGGTGTAACTCCCCCTCGCTATTTTATTTTATTTTGTCTTGATTTTAATCCAGACCATATATCTTGGACTTTGATGGTGCATCTTTTCGAAATTTGTTTTATTATATAATTTTTCAAAGTGTCGGCTGTTATTTTTACTTTTGTCTAAAACGTCTCAAGTTCATTATAAAGTAAAGGTCATCCATTCTTTGTTTTGATTGATCTGAGGATGAACTGTTTGTTTCCCTGCAAGTTTTTCAGATGAATTGCATTCAACAGAGTTTTTGCGCCTGCATTGCAATGTTTGACACAAATCACAACAATAAGTAAATGTATGAAGTATTTTTTCTGTTCAATCAAACAGTGATGCATGACCATTTTGCTATCTGTTTGCTGGTGGCAGCGCTTTAGTAATTTCGAAGTTGATAAATAATCGGGGAGAGTTTTCTCTCTTAAAACAAGTTATTATTATCAAACGATTTTGGAGCCCCACAGTTGAGCCAGATACGTCACAAAGTCATTATAGGGGTTCAGATTTGAGTTCCATTACCGCCGGTCCGCCACGGCGCCACCACTACCTCTAACTGGCTTAGTACGCATCTGATTGGTTAATCAAATATATCAAACGCATCTGATTGGTTGATGTTCCCTCAATGGTAGCAGTAGTGGAAGCAAGCTTGGAAATAATTTTTGGGGGCCTGCCTGTCAAAATAACCAGCACCAATTGATGCATTGTGCCTGTCACAAAAAATATAGGATACAAATATGCAGTGGTTACACATATATGTTCAATGGTATTTATAAATTTGCAGCTTTTGCAGAGCAGCTTTTGCTAACCTTGCATTTTAATTTTGTCGAATTAATATTTTTGGGAAATTTTGGGAAAAAGACGGACATTTTTGAGTGATTAAGAAAAGGAAATTTTTTAGGGTTGAAAGGCTGAATAATGCAAACTGGACAAAGTGACAGATACAATGAAAGTTTTGCCTGTGAAAACGCTAGAAATCACGTATTTATACCGGTCAATGACTGTGACCGGATGCTTATTTCCATGCCTAAGTTGAAGTCAAATCTGAACCTTTATATTAAAGGGGGGGGCATGATATTTTGACCAAGTTTTGTCCTGATTCTTTTTACACTAATTAATATTTCTTTTCCCAAAATGGACCATTTGCATTATAGACTAAATTTTGATCTAGACAAAAATTTCATCACAGCTTGAAAGAGCATCACAAAATTAGTAATATTCCAAAGTTTCGTTTCGAAATGTTGTAAAATGCGGATAATATAGCCTTGCGAAGTTTGCCGATTTTTAGTCATTTTAGATTACAAATGGGAAATTGACAGCCCAATCGGGTGTTGGGGCATCAATTTCCCGTTTGTAATACAAAATGACTGAAAATTGCAAAATTCGCAAGGCTGTATTATCCGCATTTTACAACATTTCGCAACGAAACTTTGGAATATTACTAATTTTGTGATGCTCTTTCAAGCTGTGATGAAATTTTTGTGTAGACTTGTTTAGATCAAAATTTAGTCTACAATGCAAATGGTCCATTGTTAGCGAGCAACTTTTTGGACTAAATATTTTCCATTTTGACAACCTTTTTCATGTTGGCACAATGACATACCAAACAAATTTGTTACTAGATGCATAATTGACTTGGCGTGGACATGCTCATGGCTCAAATTTACTCTGAAATGTGAAAAATCTCCAACACAGCTAGGACTACTGGCCAGCAGTCAAGCAGTGACTTTTTGTGTAGTCATGGTTATAAATTCATGTCTCGCTATTTATGAATGCCGAGCCTTATCCTTACCCTGCATGACTCTAACAGTAAACACTAAGCGCTGACCCTAACTCAAGAACAGGGAGACATGAATCTATATCCAATATATAGTCATAGAAATTACAGCATAATTATAATTTATAAATACCTTACAATCTTTCCTAATATTACATTCATGTTCTGTTGTTTCTGTCTGATAACAATATCTACACCTCATTTTCTTCATGAAGGAGCGATCACCCTAAATGCATCAACATGATTGAACAGAACTATGACTGTAATGATAATCCAGTTATTTCACTCCTCAGCCTATTGTGGATTTAAAATTGATTTGAATGTGAAAGTTAAAAACTGAATAAAAGAGCTAGAGCAAAGAATTTTTAATAAACCACACATATTGATAATTAAAGTAAAACGTTTATGAGCCAAATGAATATAATTTTTACTTTATTAATTAATATCAATGTGTTGTGTTTGTGTTCAAATGAGGCCGACACCTACTGTGCATATCTTCATTAAAAAGTACTCTAGTTAAAAATTTCAGAGTAAGGCATATAAAATCCTAAAATGTCTGAGCTTTTGTTGTCTACAACATCATCAAAGACACAGCAGTGAGTGTTTACAAGTAAAATAACATTAAAAGGAACCTGCTTCCATAGAAATGTTGTATACAAGATTGTCTTGTATACATGATCATCTTATACATCAGTTTCAGTTCCCTCATACTGTATGCCATCACCAAGCAGTTAGGATGTCAGTTTCATTCCAGGGGCCGGTTGTATAAAACTCTTAATCACTTTTTTAATCACTATTTTGTAGTTAAATAGTGATTAACTCTCAAATACGCGCTTCTTATTGGATGACGTTTCCATTAATTGTAGTTAACTTTAAGAGGAGATTTTTTTGTATGTTACGTAACACACTCAAAACTATTGCGTATAATATACCACTTGAGGTTATGAATAAATTCAAAATTTTTATTTTTCGATACGTTTCTCAATCGGCAAACAAACTTAAAAAGTATGTTTAGTGCTTTATCTGTAAAATAATGCTAAAATGAAGAGATTTTAGATGATACGCCAAAGAGAAAATTATGTCTGAAGTTCAGTAAGTTTTGCCTATATGGTGATAATTGTATCTTAATTGATTATTATTTTATGTTTCTCAACCGGCAGATGCATTTAAAAAGGTAGCTAACTCTATAAACTAGAGAATAAAGCTAAAACAAAGTAATTTTGAGAGGAACGCCAAAAAGATTTTAGGTTTTGAACACTTTTCATTGCAAATATGTGACATTGAAAAAAATTGCCTCTTAAGGTAATTCCGCAGTAATTGTTCCTGAAATGAGAATGTGCTGAAACTTCCCAGGCATGGAGTTTATGACATACTTAAAGTAAAATCACACAAAAAAGTTGGGGTCACCGAACTCGTTAAGAAGATATGACAATCACAATATACCACCTTTACACCAATATGGCGCCATCTTGACGCTCATTACGAGTAACAGCAAAATCACAACAGCCTGATATTTATTGACGTTTTTAGCGCGGATTTTGCTTTAGTAAACCTATCTTCTAATTATTTTTGAAAAAATATTGTGTTTTGAGCAAAATGAAACTACTATCGTGTACAATTCTGATCCACAAATGTCTTTTCCACATTTCTTCACATATCTTTCTTTGAGAACATGCATTGATAAAGGATTCTATTTCAAGATCCAGAAATGATTTTTCTTTTAATTTCGGATATGAAATGTAAAATGCATTAAAGAAATAAATTATCAGTTAAAAAACGCCCCCCCTCCCCGGGTCACCAATCTTTTTAGGGAACTGTGCATTAAAACGTGAAATACAAGTAAATAAATATACTACAGACACAGGGAACCCTAGCTACACTTTTGTATGCCTTTTTTGAAAACATTGATGTTAACGTAGTTCTTTGCACGAATGTAACCAAAGATGTTTTGAAGAAACATAACATATTTGTCATAAAATGATTTTTTTTAAACGGTACGTATAATGGATGAAATTATAAGTTGTAAGCCGTGCGCAGTAAAAGGGCGCAATGCAAAACTGCGGAATTACGTTAATCACTTTTTTATACAACCGGCCCCAGGGCTCGAAATAACGTTCCCAATCACGGTGAACGGCAATCACGACTTTTTGCCGATCAAATAAAAATTTGGCCGATCAGGAGCATTTGCCCTCATTTCCTTGAAAAAAATACTAAATATGCCAGTAAATACACATCTGAACAGGACGTTTAACTTCATTTCAAATTCGAGTTTAAATAATTAAATTTATGACATTTGTGGACTTATATATACAATACTGACAATACTATTATAACACTTTTCAAGTTTTGATTATAGTATTGCATTTTTTTACACAAAAGCAAGAAACACAAGTAACACAGCAGCATTATCAATTAAAAACTAAAACTTATTATTTAATATTAAAAGAGAAAATCCTACTAAAAATAAAAAAATACTACTCAAAAATCCTATCGATTTGAAATTATTATGACAAAGACGTTCGTCGTCAGTGGTTCGGATTGCAGACTGTTGAAGAGACAACAAGTGTTTTTGAATGTGTTTCATGTTATTTTTATTTGTCTTTTACCGCGTACAGGTACTGTAAGCATGTCTTTCAGACAATGCAGGAAATATATTTCTTGCCGATCAAGATGAACGGCAACGTTGCTTCTTCGCCGATCAAAAACAATTTCCTGTCGATCATTGACATTGATCGCCCGTTATTTCAAGCCCTGCATTCCCCCACAATCTTTTCTACTGTGGGCTCAGTACGTCAATCTCAGTTTTGCATTTTTTTAAAGCAAATTTAAAAACAATACTTTTTTTGCATAACAAAATGTGCTGTACCTTGTAACTGCCTAAGTAGGAGGAAATATTTTCTCATAACTAGTTAATTTTTAGTTTACTTGTAAGTAAATCATGCAGTTGGGGAAACATCTTCCTTTGAAAGATTATTTTGCAAAACATACTCGTACACACAAGAATCATAAAAATACAAACGTTGAATTGTTATTGTCAACTGTCAAGTTCATTTTTAGACAATATGGTGTTAGCCAGTCAGAATGCAAAATTGACCGGCCCAGTCCAGGGCTTTCTTGTCTCTCCCCTCATCCTCATACGAAAGCCCTGGGAACGAGGTTGGATTCCCAGAGGTCACTTTTTCATTATTACTAAAATCACTAAACTGTCAATATCCCCGCTAAGAATTTCAAACGGGAAAAGATGTTTGATAATTCCAAATTCAATTTTGGTTCAATCATGTGATCAAATTGTTTCATCATTTTGGTCACATGACTTCAGTATTTCACGATTTGACAATGCTGATTATTCCCAGTCAAATGCGAAACAACTCAGTATATCATCAAGATTGAGATCATATTTTCGCTAAAAGGGAGATCATAAGGGACCGGTCATTATTTATGGAAGGGGGGAGGGGAATTTTTTCTTTTCTAAATTTTTAAAATTGAAAGCCCCCCCCCCCTAATAGAGCAGAAATTTAATGATGACCCCCCCTGCATATTAGAATATTTTTCCTTGACCCCCCCCCATTTTCATTTTTACTCGTCAAATGGGGATACCCAGCCCAGGCGTTATAGTGTTAATTATTAAATAAGAATTTGGAACTGGCAAGATATTAATGTCGACCAAAAATATATATTATAATATTAGCAGAAAATGATAATTAAAAGAGGAGTATTTTTATATAGAATACTAAAATCAGGTTTCCATTTGGTCTGGGCGATTGTAACCATGTTTATGGCTGCAACTAGACTTGATGGTACGAAGTATTGCCATAGCAGCTGCGCAGCAACAATGAGAGTAACAATCAGTAATATTAGCAGCAAAAGGAGATAGCAATGACAATTCTGCCAAGGCATACCTACGAAATACAATGTATAGTGGTCTATACATCCTATTTTATGTGAGATTAAAAATTATATAAAATAAAATGACATATACTACCAGATAAAATCCTTTAGAATGAACATGGGTGGGTGCGTGGGGAAAAGGTATCGAAGCGCTAAACTTGCTGCAGCTAGGCAAAGCATACAATGGCAGAATGAATACCCAGACCAAAGCGCTGATCACAAGGCATCAAACAATCCCCTTTGATTGATATGACGTCACAGACTCCCCTCAGCGGATGTGGCCTGCATAATACATCCGCATCCTACATTGTTAATTTAAATGTATTTAACCACATCAAGAGCTGATGCAATATAAATAATACATTGTCAATTTAACAAGTCTGCAACCCGTAAAGATTGATTTGCATACAGCACACACAAGACAAGAAAAATCCAGACTATTTCATATCAGTGACCATGATTTAGTTGCAACATTTACAACGAAATGGATACCAGGTTATTAATTTAAGCAAATTCCTTCAAATTTAATTGCCACCCCCCCCCCATCATTTTCTTGAAAAAATTTAATAGCCCCCCCCTTCTAGTCATTTATTTCTACATATACCCCCCCCTTATTTTTTCCCTCCCCCCCTTCCATAAATAATGACCGGTCCCTAAACGTCTTGAAAAAATATTGCGTAACCCTGCTGTGACGTAACATGCGTATCTACAAAAATTGAAGATGGCGGAAATTTCATTCCTTTCAATCAAAATATTTGTGGAAGTAAGTTCATCCGTCTTGTAATAGGTTTCACAGACTAAAATAAATTTATCAACATTGCTGATCAGATCGGCTGATAAAAGAGATTGGTTTTGTCTTTTCTGACAGAATTTATAATTTTAAACTTGGCTTTACTATTAAAGTCTTGTTCTGATCCAAAGCCCTGAATAGACCACAATGCCTCACGATTTAGAATGCATGGCTGTAGCCTGGGCTGTAGCAGTGACTGCAGCCGAAAAACGTCCATTTTGCAATGCACCCACTTGATGTACAATTTACACAAAGTACTTCGCGGAACAATTCAATGATTGCGGGCTCACGCACGTGGTTCAAAACATAGTTCAAAATCAGAACAACACACAAGTCAAATTCAAAGTTTTGAAATTTTTAATCTTGATTTTTATGCAGAAATATTGTAGGAAAGCTGTCACAAAGAAGAACGCGTATAAAAAAGCTCCTTAGAGTAACATTCTGATAAAATTATGGTAAAAAAAATCCCAAAGCCTGAGATATCTGGGCTGGAAAAACGGAAGGGGCCATATATATGGCCCATGGGCATAGATATCTCATATACACTAGATAGCGCATCCCACCCTGTAGGCAGGCGAAAATTGAAGCCTGATCGCAGTCGCAGTTTACGTGCGGCGGCCATATTGGTCGTTCCCACGGAGCGTGATAATTTGTATATTTTGTATTGC